GAAACCAAATGTCATCTGTGTCATCATCTTCAATTTCGGTAAACAAAAAATTGGCTAACATAGAGCGGTAACGCTCGCCATTGACTGTAACGGCGACTCCTTGCTGATTTTCGAAGAAAAATGGTCCAATGATGCCTCCAGACCACAATCCGCACCAAACGGTCACTCGTTGAGGATGCATTGGCTTCTCCATGGCGACGTGTGGATTTTCTGAGCCCCAGATCCGACAATTTTGTTTATTAACATAACCTCCGATGTGAAAATGAGCTTCATCTGAAAAGATGATTTTTCGGTAAAAATGCCCATCTTCGGCTAAACGATCTTCAACCCATTGGGCGAACCGGAAACGCAACGGATGGTCATGAGGCTTCAGTTCTTGGACTAATTGAACTTTGTAAGCCTTCATACCGAGGTCTTTATGCAAAATTCTCCTCAAAGAAGTGCGAGAAATGTTCAATTCTTGAGAACGATGACGAGTTGATGTTGATGGTTGTTCACTAACACTCTGAGCAACAGTGGCAATGTTTTCAGCTGTCCGCACTGTAGGAGCACGAGAACGTGTTGTTTTATCCAACAACGATCCAGTTTCACGAACTCGCTTCACAAATTGATTCACATACTGACTTGAAGGCACGTTTTGTTTACCAAAAATTTTTTGTAATTTTCTTACAGTTTCAGTAGAAGACTCACTATTTTGGAAATATGTTTTCAATATTTCCCACTTTTGTTCAAGCGAAAAGCGACTCATTTTGTAAATGTCAAACATAAAACTAACTTTCTCTCATAACACGGATGATGTAAGTGTTGCCAAAATCAAAGTAATCGGTAGTTGAAATTGAAAACGTTAGATGGCCCACCCTGTATATACGTATATAAAATGGGATGGGTTGGGGACATGTCCACTTATATATACGTTCATCATATACGTTTCTTACACGTACAATACGTATGGTTGTATGTGTTTTTATACGTTTCTTATACCAATCCGTGTTTATTGGGTTGTATGAAAATATAAAAGAAAACATGTACGATACGCGCAAATTAAGATAATAATACATAAAAAATAGTAAAACATAATAATAGTAATACATAAGAAATAATAATACATGTGAGAAGCGAATAGGCCCTAGGTACCTTAGACGGTCCTATAACAGAAACCGAACAAGACCAAGTGGCGCCCTATACTGCGCATTATCGACGGAGTGAGAGTAATGATCGAAAGAGAACGGACGGGAGCGCGACAGTAGCAGTAGTAGTAATGGAGGAGAGTAAGAGAATAAACGAAAATTATCCGACGCACGTGTATTTTCTTCACCCTTAGCTAGATCCTACATATTTTGGGGGCTCGAGTCAGGATTAAGCGAGTCGTGGAAAAGAACAGAAAAATTGCGTCGACCGTTGTATCAATAAGTCGTAACATATCGAATCAAAAGCAAGATTGTGTAGAAGAAGTTAGCTCGAAGGAACCGCGCTCTAAAAAAAAAAAAGTTGAAACGACAGTGTAGAAGATAGAGATATACTTTTATTGTTCAATACGTTGCTGTTCGACAGAGCGAATCCAAGCAAGATTATTCAGCAAAGGAGAATAGATAAGTTGAAAGATGTCAAACTCAGGTAGACAAGGAAGCGACGAAGGTAACTATACAGGAGATGATGAGATGAACCTAACGATCGTATCCAGCACAAGGCAAGGGGGAAACGCATCAAAGGGAACAGAAAACAAGGTTAGTAAAGGGGTTAAGAAGAAGTTAAGTGAAAAAAAAAAAGACAGAAAAGGTGATAGTAAAAGTAGAAAAGATAGTAAAAGGTAACTAACTAATGAAGCCATTGATAAAATGATAGTAACACAATTAAAAGATGAATTGAAACGACTAAATTTGGCGAAAGACGGAAGAAAACAAGATTTAAAAGAACGATTGAAAGAACACATTCGAGAAATAGAGGAAGTTGAGACAACAGAGGAAGGCTCGTATGAAGAAGAGGCAGATAGCATCAACGAAACAGAAGAGGAAAGTAGCGACAGTCAAAGTGACAATGAAGAACAAAACATACGTAGACGGAGGCGAAGAAGAAATGTAAGAGAACCTGTGTCATCTAACCTAAAATTTACTATAAAGGATGTCGAAAATAGTATCGCTCAGGTGACGACAAGCTATCCATCGAAAAGTTGAGCGATTTCGAGGATCTAAGTTCATTACTTCAGTGGAACGAATTGCAAAAGGTTATTTACGGTAAGAGACTCTTAAAAGGATCAGCTAAAAGATTTGTTACTTATGAACGTAGCATTCAATCATGGAATACACTTAAGCGAAGGCTATCACGCGAGTTTAAGACAGATTTAAATAGTGCATTAGTACATAAGGAACTTACAAAACGTAAGAGACAAGCAAATGAAATGGGACGTCAATATGTGCATACGATGCAAGAAATAATAAGTCAAGGGCACGTTGAAACAGAAGCATTAATCCAACATATAATAGATGATGTACAGAATGAAGAGACCAATAAGACAATACTACACGGTGCGTCGACACTACATAACTTAAAAAAGAAATTCGAGATATATGATAGAGAATGAAAGAAAGAACAAAAAACATCGGAAAGAAAGAAACAGCCAAGAATAAAACAAGAAAAGACGGGAAACCTGCGCATTGTTTTGGATGCGGCGCAACAGACGACGAGGTGGCGAATTGCACACATAAAGAAAAGGGACCGAAATGCTTTCGATGTAATGAATTTGGACACATTTCGGCAAAATGCACAAAACTCATAGAAACGAAGCGTAATAAGGAAGTCAACATAGTCAGAATGACCGATGTCAAAACGGTGCCAGTGACGTTAATGGAAATAATATTGAAGCATTATTAGATACGGGCAGTGATGTAAACCTCATGCGTGAAGATGTCAGCAACCGAATTCGAATCTCCAAATTACAGAAGACTACAAGAGTGTTCACAGGCCTCGGCAACACACTAACGAAGCCAATTGGCAAATGCAGTGAATGCCTAACTATTGGCGCAGATACATTCAAGGACATATTCATAGTCCCTACAACATCGATGACCTCAGAACTAATCCTAGGAAGGACATTGTTAGAAGAAGCTGAAGTTTTAATAGAGAAGAATAAAATCACAATAAGAAGAATCTCCGGAGAAGGAACCGATGAAACTGCTATGAACACGAGTACTACAAATGATTCCCATGTAAATGAGCAAATCAACATAGAAGAAATAAAAACAGAAATAACAGCTGAAGAACAGAAGAAAAATGGAGCAGACAAGGACACCGCAGAGATCAACGACGACATCCATAAGATGATGCTGCTAAACCACATCGAGCCAAACGAGAATGAGATTCCAGAGCCGTATAAATCTAAACTCAGTAAGTTGATAGAAGAATATACTTCTAAGGAAAAAGTACAAACATCAGTTCAAACGAAGATTATCTTAAGCGATGACAAACCAGTAAATCTCTGGCCTCGAAGATTAGCACCGAAGGAAAAGCAAATTCTCGACGAACAATTAAAGGAATGATTAACTCAAGATATCATAAGACCAAGTCAAAGTGACTATGCTAGTCCAGTCGTGATAGTGCCGAAGAAAAATGGGACCTACAGACTATGCATCGATTATCGATTATTAAATCGTAAAGTATTAGGTGTACAAAAAAGTTCTGAGCTTTTTTTTGTAAAATTCAATCTTTATTCAAAAACAAACGAAAAAATATTAATCAGCGAAATATTCTCCGTTTGCATCAACGACCTTTTGCCATATTTCGGGTAGCTTGCGAATTCCTTGACGATAGAAACTCACCGGCTTCGAAGCGATAAAGTCATCAATGCATTTTCGTATTTCTTCTAATCTCACGAAATGTGTATCAGCCAAATGATGCTGCAGCGACCGGAATAGGTAGTAATCGGAAGGCGCCATGTCTGGGCTATACGCCGCGTGCGGAAGAAGTTCCCAGCCTAACGCAAAGATATGGTCCTGAGTCGCTTTCGCAACATGTGGTCGAGCATTGTCATGAAGCAAGATCACTTTACGACGTCCTTGGCCAGTAAATGGCCTCTTTTCTTCTAATGCATCGCTCAAATTGGTCAATTGTTGTTGGTAGCGGTCTGCCGTGATTGTTTCACCCGGTTGTAACAACTCGTAGTACAACACACCTTTCCAATCCCACCAGATACAGAGCAAAACCTTCTTGGCGTGGATATTGGGCTTTGGCGTCGATGTCGAAGGTTGACCAGGATCAACCCATGATTTTCTACGTTTAGGGTTATCATAAAGAATCCACTTGTCATCGCCTGTAATGATTTTGTGCAGAAAATCTTTTTTCCGGAACTTTGAAAGCAAAGTGAGTGCAGTGTCACGCCGTCGATTTTTGTTGTCTTCGGACAATTCATGCGGAACCCATCTGCCTTCCTTCTGAACCTTTCCCATCGTACGTAATCGTACGGAA